TGTTTTGAGAATGATGTACAAATGCGCTTTACACAATTGATGTGTGTATGGATTGCGATAACAGTTGTATGAGCCCCTAATAAAATGATTTTAAAAAGGAGAGAGCGGGAGTGAACCCCGGCTGTCCCCTGACTCTGCCTCTTGCTCCCTGCCACTAGACCACTGGCAAATACTCCTTAAAGATCTTCCCGGAGAGAAATATGTTTGGCCTGCTGCAAGCTAATAATTCTCACAGCCTGCTGGACACAGCCCAGAAGTTGAACGCCAGCGTGGTGGCATCCTTTGTGGAGATCCCTCTGGCCAGTGCCATCTCACTTCGGACCCCCAGCTGTGGTGAGCACTCCCCCCAGACCCTCGGCTCAGTTGGTGAAGCACCATCACACCAGTGTGTGACCCTGAACAACGCCTGCCCCTTTTTTATGCCTCATTTCCTGCCTACAAAATGGGGACGGACATTGAAGGGAGCTAAATATAGAAGGACTTGGTGACCATGAGCTCCAGCGACTGCCCACCCGCCTGCCTCTGCTTCCCGCAGGTGCTGAGCCACTGACCTCCCCGGCACCGGTCCAGACCACCCTTCCCCCAAACAGCTGCAACCAGGAGCTGCTCATGGCCCTGATCCAGCCCACGTGCTCCAATGATGTCATGACTCTGGTACTCATCAAAGCGCTGGCCTTGGTAAGCGAGTCCCTAACCCAGCCCCCCTAAAGTGCGGCCGGCCCTTCTAGCTGACAGAGGCAGGTGGCCCGGTAGATCTTGAGGTTTCAGCCCCAGCCTGGGGACAGGTCACACGGCCTCTGCCAAGCTCCAGTTTCCAAGTTGTGAAGGCAATCATCCTGCTTGCCACACAGAGTAGGGATGGAATGATGCCCACGGAGCCAGGTGTGCTGCACGGGAAACGCTCAGTCAGTCGTTCCAACGTCCTCAATGTGGATGGACCGAGTGGCGCCAACAATGGGATCGGGCAGCCCTGTGAGTCATCACTTCAAAGAAGAGCGGTTGTCCTTATTAGGCAAGAGCAGAACATTCCTCTGATCCCTCTTTGGGGAGCCAACATGTCGCATTGTAAAGTCCAGAAGCGATTAGTGTTAATTAAGGTAGGAAAAGGTTTGAGCATCCCCAGACCCCCTTTGCCAACACCGAACCAAAGGACACAGAAACCCCAAAGTAGTGCCAACATTTACCAGCAGTGCTCACGGATGGAGTTCGAAGCGGCATGGTGCTGGGATGCGTTGTGGAGTATGGTTTTGGGGGGAAGGAGCTTAAGGACATTGCTTTCGCTCTGTGTGCGCATGCACGTGCGCGTGCGCGCCCACTCCCCTTTAATGACTTGCTGCAAAACAAACACTGAGCAGTAGTTTTACTTTCCATCCTCTTATTTCGGTAAGAGCAAAAAATCACCTTGGGACTTCTTTCCTTTAAGGAGAACAGGTAGTCACATAGGAGTTGTGTCAAAAGGAAGCGGCATAAAGCGAGTTTTTGCATTGAGAGGGTCATCTGCATGTATACACTCTGACAATTTCCTGATTGAGGACTAAATAGATTTACTACCAAAATCACACATCTCTACAAGGCGGCCTGGTATCATGGTGGTTAAAGCACTCAATGGTTAACCTAAAGGTCAGTGGCTCAAAGTCACAGGATGCCCCAGGGCAGAGGGATGTGGTGGTT